TTTTATAAATATATACGTATGGGTACCCTGTGACTACGTATACACATGTGAGTATTATTATTTTTTCTTTTCTTTTCTTGCTTGGTGAAATTAAATGGGCGGTGCCCCATGAGAAAGGTACTGGCTTGAATGACCGGAGTGGGTCATGCTAGGTTTCTTGTAATATCGTTTCTTGTATATATATCATATGTTTTATTGCCTTTATTATTGTTAATGTATATTTATTTCGTTATTATATTTTTGTATTGTTAAACTCAGTCAGCATTGCTCTCGAATTGTGCGTGTATTTCCCACAACAACAAGTGAATGAACTCCTCCCCCTTTCCCTCTCCTGAAATTTCGGACTGGTTACAGTCCGGGTAAATAACGGTTCAAGCTATAATACTAACTACAGTTATGAGACATGTGCATGAAAAGGGTTACTCAGAACTTTAGTAAGTCCCGACTCAACACCATAAAGATACAAAAAGAATGACATTACTAGATTGCCATGCATTGTAAATGGATGTGACCACAGGACCAATGAAGAATATATACAAAGTAGGGCAGGCAATGACAGGGGAATGATACTGAGCGAGTCTTTGAGAAGTGCAGTGTGAAAGTATAGAAAGGACTGAAGTGGATCAGCACTGCATCAAACTGATCTGATGTCTGAACATATGACGAACCTTCAAGTTCCACAAAAAGGAGCATTTTCAGTATTACAAATGATTCAACTGCCACGAACATGCACCAATGGAGTCGGCCAGCATCCTTACACACCAAGCAGATAACTGATAACTTACCTTAATTTTGTTGACATAGTTAATGGCATGATTGAACTCCACTGGCTGGCTCTGTGGTGTGGGGTGAATGGCACCGCCAGTGCCAGACTCTGCATGACTCAAAGCCTGAGACACAGCTTGGTGTGCTGCCTGAGACATTGCCTGAGCCTGCGTAACTGGACCGTGGCCATGCCCATGGTGGCTGTTGTTGTGATGGATAGCTGAATTGTTTGGTGTGGGGGCATACCCATGGTGTTGCTGTCCACTGGAGACCGTTGACAGAGACCCTGCTCCGGATCCTGGAGATGAAGACGTCCCAGAAGGAACTGAGGATACCACATGATGCGAGGAACCTGTAGAGCCACCCAGGCTTGAACCTGAGTGATGACTTGAAGAACCACTAAATGTAAAACCCAAAATACAATGAAACCTTCATTTAAGATTTGTTACATCATGATATAAGTGTGCTTGATTCCATGTAATTAAATATACATTACATAGGATTGGAGGTTCTCACATCAGTGGTTATAAAGAGTTCTTCTATCTTCTGGGATATAACACCGTGTAGTACATTACTTCTTCATTTACATTTTAGTTTAGGCAACTGTCATATTCATCAAAGAGCACCAGATCATACAGAAAAATGTCTGACATGCATACAACTTCATCATCTTGGTTTTTCTGATTATGTTTAACAAGCCTATAATATCTAGAGAAAAAAGTCTGCTACATAAAAAACAAATTGCTAAATATTTTACACGAATGAAAGTAAATTTGGCCTGTGGACACAACTTCCTTACTGTCTTTTGTTTACAGGAAATTAGCACATTCACAAATTTTTAATTTACATTTTGGGGGGGGGGCGGAAAGAACAGACACAACACACATTAATTGAGAAACAACTGTACTTACCACATGTCAGTATCTTAAACACGTACTACTCACATACACACACCGTGAATCCATCTTCATAAGTGAAGGTAGTCCCGGCCTCAAGTCTACTACTTATTTATAACATGTAACTATCAAAATGTAGTATGTAGCAGACTACATCTCATCCACATTCATAGTGGAAGTGAAATGCCGAAAGAGAACAGTGTGCAATGCTTTCGCACTACGGCTCACTTGCTGGACTCAATAATATAAGCCTACAAGCTATAGAGTAGTGCATCATATAGGACTCATAAGGTGTAAAACTGGTGCTGTTACTTACATTAGCACTAACCACCAGCCACCTCTTGAAGAACCATGAAATGTTAGCAAATTTTAGTATTATTTTTGAGACCAGAAGCTGTGATATGGTGATGTCTTCATGGCTATGCATGGATCTCAACAATTCCATGCCGTACTTCCATGTACTGTCTCAACCTATAGTAATAAGGTAATGGCATGGGCAGTGCAGTTCTCATGCAATCAGTTGGTACGGCAGAAATTTAAATTCAGAGTGAAAGTATATTAAGGATTAACATACATTACTTGCACTGCCTACAACCTGCACAAGAGGGATAAACATATTCACCTGTGCAGAGACAGAGATGGTTTTCCTGGGGCTGCAGCTGGACCTCCAGGAATGGAGCCTACAGCATTACCAACATGCTGTGCTGATCCCACACCTCCGGTCCCACATGTAGGAACCCCTGCTAGTCCAGCACTACCTACTGGTGAGCTCAAGGTGGTGGGAATTATTGAGTGATGTGTAATGGAGCCTGGTGTATGCACCAATGTTGTTGTGGCAGCTGTGGGACTTGGCATCGATACTGATACCTGGAATGCATAGCCCTACTTTCACTTAGTACAGATGTTAATGAAATAATAAATACATCACATATATTATTTTGGTTTGTCAACACAATCTATGTATAGATATACTATACACTGAAAGTTACAATGAAGTACTGTACCTTTAACTTGCCTGTTCTTTCCCTTATGTTGTTCAACATTTACATATGGGTGTATTTTGTGTTGTTGGTCACTGACATTAGTGTAATGTTTCTGTACTTGGATAATTATAATATTAAATGTGAAACATGTGGCTATTATACTACCTGTGCTGTTGTTTTTTTTCCTAGGCTGCCTTGTTATTGGAAAATGTTTCATTGTTGTTTTCTTTGAGATGAAATGCTCCATAAAAACTGACAGGGGCAGTACAGAGTAGCAGCTTCTGTTTCATGTTCATATATTTACATACTCTTAGTTTGACCATTATTATTAGACATGCAGCATCATGTTCTGTTGTATTATATTTATCAATTTGGTTTCAATGAATACTATGTATAGATAATTACATGTTACAAGTTTCATCAGGTACTGTACACGTACCTAACTAAGAGCCCTAAACAAACAAAAGGAAATGTAAAAACCCAAATATTTAGTAGAAATAAGCAGTTTTCCAGGTTTCATTAACTGACACATCTGTAAGCTTCATCCAGCTACACTCCCATGCATAATTGGTTAGCTGACCAATTACGTGTTACTAGTTAGGAATCCTGATATTATGTTGAAATGCTCATAGTTGTGCCATCCTCAAGAACTACTGTCTTACCATGGAGAGGTGGTTTGTGCACCCCAATAACTTGGACAGCTATTCTGGTGGGAGCATGGGCTCCTCGCAGAGCAATCCCTGCCATACAGGTCAAAGTGTATGGGCCACACAAAGTGTAGTCCCTGGCCATCCAGAATGGGGCTAATGACCTCTCCCCAGAAAAATTTAGTTATGAAACCTTGGAGGAGGACAAGACACAGGTTTGCAGTGCCAGAAAAGCAGTAGCTGTGTCATCACCTACAGTTTAATGCTTTCGTGCCCATTTCATACACACTGCACTGCAGATCTGAATTTCTTGTCACCTCGTCCACAATGTGGAGCACTCTTTTTCTCTCAATGTCAATTCGCTGGAACTACTGACTCAAGCTATCTGCAAAGTGTGAATATTCCAATGTAGTCTTCCACTAATTTCATATTAAACACATATGCCAACTATTCAAAAACCAGTTACTGTGCATGCAGAATAAAGGTTTGGCAGACTTAATGCACTGGCAGAAGTTTCTACATGCAGACACAAAAAAGAGGCATAGAAAGGTACCTGGTCATTGGCTTGCACTTCAATCTTGTAGCCAGGTGGAAGGAAAGTGTTAAAACCAACAATAAGCTCTGGGTGACCCTTGAATAAGTTTGACACCCGTTGGATAACTCCTGGTGTGTCAATGCTGTCAACAAGAAACAAAAATTTGTATTCTCATTATGTTTTGATATAACTGCATGTCTGACCTCACTTTTAAGGTTGTTTGCAAAATATACTATTACACTATACTATTATCATAAAATGAACACATGATAATACTTTTATTCATAAAGAATCAACCATACCTGCACATCGTGTATTACACACAAAATTAAACTTTCTGAGCAGTGATCAACACAAGTACAACTGAAAGTTCTCACACAATGACCTCCAGTGCTTAAGCAAAATATGGAAATTGGAAAAGAAACACTAGCCAATAATTCTCAAAGCAAAAAATCAGGGTGGGGTGGAGGGAAAACAATGTAGCAAGCCAAACCATTTCCTGGGATGACTCTCAAAATATGTCTATATATATATTTTTATAAGATACTACAGATCACTTTTGAAAGTGGAGGATTTTAATAAGACAGTACCATAAGCTACAAATTGTGAAAGACTAAAGAAAGTAAAGAAAATATAAAAAATAGAAAGCTGAATGTAACTGTAAAAGTGAAGAATTGTTAGTGAAAACATACTTCTATCTTGCAGAAATGATAGCAATTCTTTTTACTGGTAATAGGTAAAGCTATCCCTGTAACAGGCTGTGGAGGTCCATAGGGTTGTGAGAAGTTGAGGCTCACAGATAGTGGTAAGGCTGTCATGTTGACATGGTGGCTGCACTTTACCTCCAGGAGGATTCCTGGTGTTCATTTCTGTTAGAGGCTGAGTAGACCTCAGGACGACAGTGTAGATGGAAATATTTAAAAACCCAATGACCTCATCAGGAAACAAACCTGTGATCTTCTGGCTTGCAGTACAGTGCATCAACCAACTACATTACTGCATGTCCTTGTTCTTTACTGAAAAGTACTTGACTGAGGTGATCCTTTCATGAATGTATAGATAAAGAAGTTTACTGTGCCTTTTGATTTATGTTATCCCCTGCACAACTCAGGCATAATGAAATAATGGGGGTATGGATTGTTTTATCTTCGAAAACTACTCAACAGCGGACTTCAACGGACTCTGGAATACAGCAGTCAACAACAAAACACACCTGGCAAAATTAATTTTGGTATCAGTCTACCTTATACTCCATGAAATACAAACCCTCATTAACATTTTGCGGACCAGTGGCATATTATTATGATTTTAGGACACTATGTTGAAACATACTATACCTTGCACTGGTGTCACCAAAATGAAATGACTACTGCGTAATATTATTCCGGAATGTTTGCTTAGTAGGCAGTAACTTGATCTCGCTATTTGGGTTCCCCCTCCAAAGGAAAATGATCTTTGATCCTTCAAGCTCTTATGTACCAGGCAGGAAGTTAATAGTGCAATGAGTCAAGAACAGAAGCAGTTGAAAACCAAAAGATCTCTTGGAGAACAAGAAATATCTGACTTGTTCTCTGTAGTGATAGTGATTTAGACAGTGGCAGTGACAAGGGACAACAAACAACTGTGGCCACAGACAATAAAAGTGAAAGTAGCTCCGATGAAAGTGCAGGTAGTAAAATTGCGGGAACAGCCACATGGGGAAAAGTAGACAAAACGCCTACTTTGGGACAGTTTACTGGAAATCCAGGGGTGAAACAAATTCCATCGGGCCCAACGCAAGTGTCTGAAGTAGCAGAACTGTTTTTTGGAGATAGGGACACTCGTGTTGTGAACATGATTTCCACAATTTACAATTCGAGCATGGTTGATGTTCAAAGGAGACATGGACAAGTAAAGAAGCCTATTTGTATTTCTGAGTATAATATGATGAAGGGAGTAGATAGAGCTGATCAATACTTAGCCTATTATTCTCTTCCTAGGAAAATAATAAAGTGGACAAAGAAAGTTGCCTTGTGGCTTATAAATTGTGCCATTTTCATTTCATTTTTGGTTTAAAAAAATCTAAACCCTGATTCGAAATTGAAATACAAAGCATTTCTGATGAATGTGGCAAAGGCCTGGGCTACAGACCAGATGGTGGCGGCAGAACCAGAGTCAGACACAGACTTAGTGCGATAAGGCCCATCAACTCCCACCCCACATAGGCCTCATGTGGACCCCCTGGGCGACTCTTGCGTGATAGGCGGAAACATACCCTCGTGAAAACTGTGAACATTCCAAGGGGAAGCATCCTTCTAGGCAATGCTGTGTTTGCACAGTTCACACACACACACACACACAAAAAAAAAAAAAAAAAAAAAAAAAAAAAAGAAAACCTCTTTCAATTGAAAGATATGT